TAGGGACTTAAATTTGATAGTTTTTATAGTAATTAATAATTGCATAGTAAAAAATTAAAAAATTGTTTAACAGTAGGAAATTGATCAAATTTCCTCTTTTAGAAATGTTTAGTAAGCACTTAATGATAAAAATCAGAAAGGGCACGGGCAAGGTACAAGAGCAAACTTTCTGGGATGATGGAAATAACTTTAGGTTTTAGGTGGTTTGTTTATAAGTCTGTATAGTTTCAAAACTCATAAAACCAAACACTTAACACAAAGCTCAACAAACTGAACTGTAAATTATACCTCGATAAAGAGTAAATTAAGTAAATTGAGCCAGGCATTATTTAGGCATTGGTGACCTAGACAAAAAAGGTCCCTGCTCTTGTTTATCTTATATTGTGATTAGGGGACATGATAGGTGGATACAGCCATTACAATTCATGCTTTAAAAGGGTATTAAGGAATTGGGAAAATGATACAAAAATCTGATACACTATTAAGCGAAAAGGGTAGGATATGGACTGTATATATGATATAGTCTCTCTCTTTTTTTCTTCTTAAGAGATAAGGTCTTCCTTTATTACCCAGGCTGGAGTGCAGTGGTGATTATAACTCACTGCAACCTTGAACTCCAGAGCTCAAGCGATCCTCCTTCCTCAACTTCCTGAGTAGCTGGGACTATGGGCATGTGGCACCATGCCTGGCTAATTTTTAAAAACTTTTTGTAGAGACAAGGTCTTGCTGTGTTGCTCAGGCTGGTGTCAAACTCCTGGCCTCAAGCAATCCTCTGTCTTAGCCTCCCAAAGTGCTGAGATTACAGGTGTGAGCCAGCATGCCTAGCCTATAGCCCTTTTTTTTTTAAGTATTTATGGTATATGTACTTATATTCCTCCCCCAAAAAAAGACATAAATATGCCAAAACGTTATCTTTTGCTGGTAGAATTGTAAGTAGCTTTATTTTTTTATATATTTCTAGATTTTCCAAATTTTATATAATGTTATTTTTTATAATTCTAAAACAATAAAAATAAGTTTATGCTGTGTTAAATATATTTATTTTATACAGTATTTATAGTTAGGTAATATTTTCCCCTTCAAAGTATCTAAAATATCTATAATGGCTAAACATATGTCAAACAAGTTCATAGGAAATAGCCTGTCTTAAAAGATTTTTAAAAATTTCTTCCTTGATTCTTCTGTATTTTATATTTCTTCACTAAAATCAGCCTTAATTTACAGAAAGTCAAATATTGCATGTACTCACTGTCATGTGAGAGCTAAAAAAGTGGATGTCATGGAAGTAGAGAATAGAATGGTAGTTAGAAAAGGCTGGGAAGGCTGGTGGTAGGAGAATGAAAAGAGGTTGCTCGGTGCGTACAAAAATATAGTTAGAAGGAATAATTTCTAGTGTTCAATAGCATAGTAGGGTGACTATATTTATCAATAATTTGTTGTGTATTTCAATAGTTAGAAAAGAAGATTTGGAATGTTCTCAACACAAAGTAATGATAAATGTTTGAGATAATGGATATCCCATTACCCTGATTTGATCATTATACAGTATGCATGTATCAAAATATCTCATGTACCCGATAAATATGTATAATTATGTATCAATAAAAAATCAGCCTTAATAAATATACTTAAAGCGATTTGAATTGAGCTTTATAGGCTATATGGCTTTCATTTTAAAGCTTCTCATTAGTTTAATTATAGTTGATCATCTTTAAAAAATAGATTGCACTAAGACTTTTATAAGTTATTACTTTGTTGGAGGAGGTAATAGTACCTCTCATTATTGTATTTTTTTAGAGTAGTGTGAGTCTAAAGTTAAGGTTTTTATCTTTATATTTCTATTCATTTGTTTTGGTAATTTAACTTCTTATGACTAACATCGTAATGTATAGAATAACAGTGTTACTCTACATTGAACAAACATTGAATGACTATTATCTTAAGGTACGTACTGGATGCTGGGGCCAATTCAAGCTAAGACATTCATTGTCTGATCTAGAAGATAAGTGTAGATACAAATTACAGAATAATGTGGGGAGTAGGAAAGTGACTGACATTTGTGCTTATTCATTAACTCACTCATTAAACATTTATGAGGCTTCTGCTTGTGCCAGGCAGAGTAGAACACAGCCCTGTTTCTTCACAGCCTTATGGAATAGACAACTTTAGAAACAAATAATTTTACAGTAACAGTAGTGTGATAGCAGAAACATGAGGAAGGGTGCTTGGAAGCACAGGAGGAAGTGATTAAGTCTGCTTTGTGAAATTAAGGAAGACTGCAGGAAGAAGTAATATTCGACCCTAGCCTTTTGAAGGGTCCATACAAATTAGATAAAACAGAAGCAGAAAAAGCATTGCAGACAGAAGGAACTCCAAAGAACTCAGGATGGCTGCTCCTAGGCAAAAGCTTTGGCTGGCTTCAGGTAAATGAGAAGGGGGTGTTTGTAGGAGCTGAAGCTGGAAAGGACCCTTGCTGTGCTATGGGGATCATAATAGAGCTGGCGATCCACAGCAGCGCTGTGCAGTAAACTTTGTGGCTATGGAAGTGTTCTCTGTACTGTGCAATAGCAGCTACTAACCACATGGCGCCCTGTTGAGCCCCTGAAAGGTGACTAGTATGTCATAGGAATAGAATTTTAACTTTTACTTAATTTTTTTTTTCTTTTTTTTCTTTTTTTGACTTTATTACTTTGCTGGCATACTTAATTTTTTTACATGTAAATAGCCACGTGTGTATTAATGTTTTTTATTGTCTGTATTTTATGATGCTTTGATCTTTGGGGTCTTGCTGGCTGTGGAGAAACTGCTCCTCCCAGGACTAGCTAATTTAATTTCTAGAGATATTAAACAACTTGCCTGTGAGCATGCCTTTCATATTGCAAACCAAGCAATCCAAAGCCCATAACCCCAACTCCTTTACTTCCCCTATCTATCTCTTACCAAGCCAATATTCCTCCAGCTCTAAATCACCCCAGGGGTAGGTACCCAGTAACTAGGGACCAGCCCTTTATTTAGCTCAGAGTCCACTGAAGTTATTCAAGCTAGCCAACACTAAACTGTTTACCTTTCCCTGCCTTGCCTTTTCCATGGTAACCACGATAAAGGCCTGTGCTCATGATTTTCTATCACTTCTTTCTTCCTCTTAACCAACCTGGTACTTCCTCATATGGCCCTGTGTTGTACCCTCTCCTCTTGAGAACTGTAAGAGAGAAACTCTCCTTTTGAGGCATTGGTCTGCATGTCTATCATCCTGTCGTACCTGATTAAAAGCTTGGTACATGTCTAAACAATGGCTAGTGGCTCCCATATTAAATAGTACAGATCTATACTTAGCCCCTTCTCCTAAGAAACAGTTATATGTCATCTCCAGAACTTTAATTCATTCAAAGACTCTATATGAAGTGTCTGCACTTTGTTTATGAGAATATAACAGCCAACATGACAGAAGGTCCTTACCCTTGCAGAGTTTCTTTTTATTCTGATGACTAAAAGATTACATCTCTAAAGATTTCTACCCAATAGCATTGTCAAGTTGGTTTGGCAAAATATTTTTTCAAAGAAGTTACTACTACTTCCTCACCAATCTCCATAATCTCTTAATAAAAATTACCATTTATTGTGTATCTTCTCTGTGTCAGGCACTCTTATAGGTGCTATATATGTGGGATATAAATAGATTGTTTCATTTAGATCTCCTTGCACAGTGGTGTATCAAAAATAATTTCATTTTGAAAGAGTTAATATTAACACTTTCTTCCAGTAGTTAAATAGTAAGAACAATAATCTCACAAGATTAGTTTTACCAAGAGAGTGACAGATTTCATTTAAATCTGTGGATTTGATTCATGATAATTGACAGCAGGCTTTGGATTTAGACTAGGCTTTGGATCCTAGACTAAATCCGCACATATAAAATGGGAATAGTGATACCTACTTAGTACAGTTGTACTCATAGCATAGTCTAAGAGTACATATTCATTTAGTAGACGATGCTACAAGTACAACTGTACTATCTCATTTAACACTGTTAGCTCAAACAACTGTATTTGGTAGGTATCAATATTATTCCCATTTTACATTTATTTTTAATATTTATTAGCATTCTTTGACACATTCCTGTTTTTCTCTTTTTCTCAACTAAGCTCTTTATACATAGTGCCTAGCAAGGTATTAGGTATATGACTCAGTAAAAGAAGTAAAATGATAACTCTTTAGGAACGAAAGGATTCCCTACAGAGCCCAGCAGAGGCAGGGCACTAGCAGATGTTTGGTAAATGTTGAAATGTTTATCTTGGTTTCCTGGAGTATTTGTCTCCATGAGCATAGAGACCATTTCATGGATATCACTTAAATTCTCTGTCCTCTTAAGACAGACTGAGACCACAAAAGGCTTTTAATGAATGATTATGGAATGAGATATATCTTAACATTAGAACATTAAGTATGTGAAGGTTTCAATTTGTTCTATAAAATAGTAGCTTTTACACAACATTTCCGTGTTTTTTAAGAACAGTTACCAAAAAATGTAAATCAAAGCACTGAAGACGAGTTCTGTCCGAACTTATAAATCATTGCTAAAAATTTTACAGATATTCTGTTGGATGAATTTGACATATTAAGGAGAAAAGAGTGAGAATGTTGTCTAAACCTGTGCTATACATCATACCTTGAAGTTTGTTTATTATTATGGTGATCATAATTCCTGAAATGTAGACAAACAAAAATAGACAATAGACTTGTTGTGGATAATAAGATAGGATATTTGAAATTTCTGAAATTTTAGGTTTCTAGTTTCACAAGTCTCAAATTAGCCCATAGATAAGGTGGTCTTAGGTGGAGCTGGCTTCATTGTGTTATTTATTCATAGCTTTACAGATAAGTTAAAAAAGGAATTAACGTGAGAAGTAATAGATAAATAGACTCAAGGATGAAACCAGACATACTGTTGTAAGTTCTTTTACAGGAGCACCGCAGACTCTAACAAATCTGTTCATGTTTAGTTTCAGAATGGCTTCGGCTACTACCTTTCCTTGGTGTACTTGCACTACTGGGCTACCTTGCAGTCCGTCCATTCCTCTCGAAGAAAAAACAACAAAAGGATAGCTTGATTAATCTTAAAATACAAAAGGAAAATCCAAAAGTGGTGAATGAAATAAACATTGAAGATCTGTGTCTTACTAAAGCAGCTTATTGTAGGTGTTGGCGTTCTAAGACGGTAAGATATCTGTTTACACATATACTAAAATTTTGTAGTTGTTAGAATTGTGCTTTTTAAGTCTCTAGTTTCGAGGTTCTATGAGATGAGAGAAAAATCTCTCATAGTATTTGGTATTGGAAGTCTATATTCCTAAATTAAAGTTTGCATTTCATGATTGACACTATTTGTGTTAGAAAAGTTAGAGCAGCAAGGAAAGATAGAAATCTCATGCTTTCACAGTGCTCGGCATTTATCTAGAGTACCGTGTATTTTAAAATACACTTATTGGCCGGGTGCAGTGGCTCATGCATGTAATCCTAGCACTCTTGGAGGCTGAGGTGGGCGGATTGCTTGAGCTCAGGAGTTCAAGACTAGCCTGAGCAAGAGTGAGACCCCTATCTCTGCTAAAAATAGAAAAATTAGCTGGGCGTCCTGGTGTGCATCTATAGTCCCAGGTGCTCAGGAGGCTGAGGCAGGAGGATCCCTTGAGCCCAGAAGTTTGAGGTTGCTGTGAGCTACAAGGATGCCACTGCACTCTACCCAGGATAACAGAGTGAGACTCTGTCAAATAAATAAATAAATCATACATACATACATTACACTTGTTTTTTGACAGAGGACATAAGGTTTAGTGGAAGAAGCCTGGAGTAAGAATAGTGTTCAAATCTGATGTCTGTCACTTACAGTATGACTTTGGTTGGGCAAGTTACTTATTTTTTAATCTCTGATCTTCATGGTTTTGTTTTGTTTTGGGGACAGGGTGGCACCCTGTCACCCTGGCTAGAGTGCAGTGGTGTCATCCATAGCTCACCTCAACCTCAAACTCCTCAAACACCTCAGGCTCCCAAAGTGCTAGGATTAGAGGGGCGAGCCACCACACCTGGCCTATTAGAGGTTTTAAGTACAGTATTATTCATCACAGCATCCTTTGTAATAGCAAAATTTTAGAAACTAAATGTGTGATAATAAGGGAAAATTATAATACAAATGATGGGACATTAGGAAGCCATTACAAATCATGTTTTTAAAGAATAATGACATGAGACCCTGATATAGCACAAGAAAAGCATATCATAATATTCCAATTTTGTTTTTAAAAAATGAATCTATAAAAATACCAAAATATTAATTATTGTTACCTATATTTGGATGAATTATGAATGAATTTTTAAAAATATATTTTAATTCTTTTCAAAAATTTTATACATGAGTTTTATAGTAGAAACAATTATAACATATTAATAATTTATTTTGAATTTAGGTTCCTTTCTTTTTAAATTTAAACAAGTTAAGAGATAAGCTTGAATTTAGAGCTCCACAAAAGACCAAGAGTTTATTTTTTTTATTTTTTTTTTTTTTGAGACAGAGTCTCACTTTGTTGCCCAGGCTAGAGTGAGTGCCATGGCGTCAGGCTAGCTCACAGCAACCTCATCTCCTGGGCTCAAGCAATCCTGCTGCCTCAGCCTCCCAAGTAGCTGGGACTACAGGCATGCGCCACCATGCCCGGCTAATTTTTTTTATATATATTATCAGTTGCCAATTAATTTCTTTCTTATAGTAGAGACGGGTCTCGCTCTTTCTAGGCTGTTTGAACTCCTGACCTTGAGCAATCTGCCCGCCTCGGCCTCCCAAGAGCTAGGATTACAGGCGTGAGCCACAGCGCCCGGCCCCAAGAGTTTATTTTGATTCCCTTTTAAACCTATTTTAGTCACTCAAAAGTTTTAATTTAAAATCTAACTCAAATAATGAAGTAACTATTTAAATTGTTAAAATTTTGCTATGGTATGAGAATATGGTTGGGTTAGATGTAGAATACATATTACTCAGGAAAGCTATCTGATGAATTTATTTTTAGCAAGTGATATGCTTTCTTTATGACAGTGTTTCACAAATATTTATACTTAACCATATTTTTAACATAATACTTGTAAACTTTTTTTCTTTTAGTTTCCTGCCTGTGATGGTTCGCATAACAAACACAATGAATTGACAGGAGATAATGTGGGTCCACTAATACTGGAAGAAAAGAATATATTACAATTAGGATTGAATTCAATTGTATAAAATCTTATAACAATATTTTCTCATTATTTGTGTATAGAAAATTTTGAAATGGTCGTCTTAATTATTACTACCTGTTGAGAAATTATTTCTGTCAGTTTATCTACTTGCTACACTACTGTTTATATTTGATACTTTATATATTCAAACACTTACATAGAAATTAACTTGTTATTGTTAAGCCTCTTATTCTGACTTCAGAATTAATGTATCTTCCAACAATAAAATCAACATTTTTGATTTTAATTGAGAAATATCTAAATTTTGGCAGTGTGTCCAAAGCTGTTTTTTTGAATATCATTATTTTCAACAGAATCTATATTCTGAAATTTTCCCTCCATGCTGTTAAATATATTATTTTTTCATGTCTCTTTTGTTTTGATAGTTGGAAGTATTTATTTTTCCTTTCGGCCTTCCGCGCTCCATTGTGTTTAGATGAATTACGAAAACTATTGCAATTAAGAATTACTTGTTTTCACAGACATACATTCTTTGATTTATAGAGAGTGTTGTCTAATTAATATGAATATCCCAATTTCAGAAAAGTAGTAAACTGGATATAAAAAGTTCTACTGAGAACAGTTATTTACATTATAAAAGATTTATTTCCTTTACAAAAGGTTTGCCTGTGTCTTTTTACTGTGTGTGCGTGTATCTTGAGCTATTTGGCTAAGTGACAGCTGGGCTGGACTGGCAAGAGTACAAGCCAAACTCATGGGCTGCTGCAATTTGAAGGTCAGTTAGAAATAAAGTATATGTGAATTCATATTACATTGATAAATAGTTAAGTGTTCAAAATTGTGTTTATATGAACATTTTTATCCTTTAACAGTTTCACCATGAAAACAAAATAACAGTCATCCTTTGGTATACAAGGAGGGATTGGTTCCAGGGCTGCCCACAGGTACCAAAATCCATGCTTATTCAAGTCCTGCAGGGCCATAAACCGGCAGAAACGAAAAGCTGCCTGCCCCTGTGCATAGGCAGGGGTGGGGCAGTTGTCTGCCTCCAGGGATTACTTATGTTCAAACCCTGTTGTCCAAGGGCCAACTGTGCAAAAGAGTTCACAAAGAAAACTTACTAGAGAGTCTTTTAAATATTATTAAAAGTCTTTTTAGTTTCATCTTACATTGGATATTAATAGCTATTCTTAAGTCTGTAAAAGGCACAATTCATTTAGTTTACTAAGCTTTCTTTTTATATGAAGGTATAAGAGGCAGACATAATCTTTATTCCATTAATAAAGGTAATAGTTATTGAGCACTTACATGGTACCAGACACTACACTAAGCATGGTACTTGGGTTTTTAATTTTTACGTGTGATTTCAGTAGGTTCTACTATGTGATCTTAACTTTGTCGTGACCAATAGCATGAATTTTAGAATTAGAGTTAGAGCATAGTCTGTGGTTTTTGAGAAGTTGTACAATGTGCATGTCCGAGATTGTTGCCCTTTCCTCTCTCACCTGTCAATGGGGATAAATACAAGTGGCTCTCACTTCTTTGGCTCTGGGTATTTTTTTCTGAGACTGTTTCTTCAACCCTCTTCATGGACTTCACTGTCAGATTAACTAATTATTTTCAACAGTTGATTGCAAGACTTCAGGAGAAATCCTCGTTAGCAAAAGTTTGGATATCTTGATCTGTTGTCATGAAATACTTTTCTTTTTGTAAAATCATTCACTGCAACTCAGCAATATGTTTTTATACATGTTCTAGTGGTTCCCATACTTAAGATTTCACAGCAGATAAATTTACTAAAAATGTGGAGACTAAAATTATCAACTTTTAATTTCTCAAGAACACTTAAAAATTGAAACCAAATTCTCTCATAAAAGGTCATTTTAATACCCCCAAATTAGCATGGTTATACTCTCAGAATAAAGGTTTTTCACTCCTCACATTTTCAATTGTTAACATATGATAAAGAGTTTTGCCCACATATTTTCCTACTTGTGCAAATTTTTCAGAAGCCTGGGATTGGTAGCAAGCTGTTTTAATAATTCCTTTACATTATCATTATTATCAGTTGCCATCATTTCTTGTAAATTCACAGAATTTTATCATGCCTACTTTAAAAATTGTCATCTTATAACCAAATGTATCTGAAGTGACAGCTAAGAGATGTGACGTAGCTCTTGAAATACACGGCTTGGGTTTCTAGAGCCTTCAAGAAACAGCCCTGTTGTAACTGTGTCACAGGGTTGTTCTGAGGGCAGAGGCTCCTGATTACCCAGGAAACTACTAATGCCCTTACTCAGTAAATGAGCACCACCATTACATAAATATCAGGTATCCAAAAGTGTTAGCAGGCTTGAGTTATTAATGATTCATATGAGTAATTAAGCAAGTTGTATTATGAAAAGCACATTACAATTCAGCTTTGAGTTCGATGCCTCATAGGATGATTCATTAAATTGCTTTTGTATTTTGTAACCTAATTTGTTAATAAGTTTATGGGAAGCCAATTAAGCCAACTGCTGTTCTGTATAGTTCTATCTTCCTCATCGTGATCCCATAGGCTTCCTTCCATTAGAAATGTGCTATCAGTGAAACCAATTTACTGGTGAGTACATGTGGTACTTATTTTTCCATTCTTGAGATACTTCACTTAGTAGAATGGAGTCCAGGAAAACAAAAGAGGTGCTCTATCTAGGAAAACAAAAGAGGTGCTCCATCACCGTTGTTTCTTATAGCCGAATAGTACTCCATAGGAATAACATTCATTGGGCGTCAAGCAGAGGGGAGGGGAGAGGAGGGGATGGTATGTGCACACATAATGAGTGTGGTGCGCACCAACTGGGGGATGGACACGCTTGAAGCTCTGACTCCGGAGGAGAAGGGGGGAAGGCAACACATGTAACCTAAACATTTGCACCCCTATAATATGCTGGAAAAAAAAGTGCTATCAGACTCTCTTCCTGTACAAAGAGAGTTTTAAAACACTGTTTAACAGAGTTCCTAGGAAATTATAGTGCATATTTTATTTGATACCTACCAGAAACATCTAACTATGGGCCTTTCACCCATGTAGAATTCAGTTGTGGCAGCATTACCATCTAGAAAAGACCAAGAGAGATGTTATGAACGCTTGTACTTTATTCAGAAGGGAGTTCCTCAGGTCCTCACCTTCAGAGTCTATTCTTACTTCATACCCAATTCTAACAAGCTTGGTTATCTGGTTTCTGCTCCTGAGCAAATCACAAGTCTTGAAAGGTCCCGCAGAAGTAGGTAAACAATAAAATGTGACAGCTGACAGCAGGGAGGGGGAAACAAAAATAAATTTACGGTGACATTAAGAGCATAGCAGCTTGAGACAATTTAATTCAGGGTCCTGCACGCCACAGTGTCTGAGAACATCACTGTGATCAAATGATGCAAGTGATTTCTAGTGATGGACTTGAATCCAGATAAGCAGTATGTGCTATTTAAGACGGCAGAATATGTGTTGCATTCAGTGGTGCCAATTTCCACTTTAAATAGTTAAAAGCTTAGTGCTTAACATGGTTTATGTAGGTGGAAATTTTATACACAAAATATCTTGACTCATTCCTTGATATCTGGAGGCTTTATGACAGTAAGTTATTCCATTCAATTGAAATATTTTTTCAAGTTTAATGACTAATTTACTACATAATTTAATCTGTGAAAGTATGAGGAAAACTAAACCAAGAATGATTTAAACCACGATAAATTGTGTTAGCCTCCATTTTAGGACTAAAAATCATGTTTAAAAACCATGTGAACAGCATTTCTGTGACTGCCTCACTGCCTTGCTAGCTATGCAATCCCTTTGTACCACAGAAACTGGATTGTCTACAATCCATCTTGCCCATAGCCATTTTACTTTGTTTTTTTTTTTTTTATACTGCATCATCTGAGGTTGTACTTTAGTTTGTCATAATAGTCTTTTACTGTAAACTATATTTTAGCATGTTCAGCAAGTCGACTAATTCTATCTTTGGGGAAATTGAGTTTAGTAAAGTCATGTAGCAAGCATCATTTTAATATAAAAAGTGTACATTATTAGCAACTGTGCAATTTTATATTAGTTATGCTTTTGAATGACTTGAAGATCTGCTCAGAAATACATATCTATGTTTTTCAGACAAGGATGAAATCACTCCATCTTTCTTTTGGTTTAAATGTTTGACTCTTTGCTTCCAAAATTTCTGTTTTGAATAATTATGGTGAGAGAATATATTTGTGACTCTATTTTCTTTTTTTTCTTTTTTCTTTTTTCTTTTTTTTTTTTGAGACAGAGTCTCGCTTTGTTGCCTAGGCTAGAGTGAGTGCCGTGGCGTCAGCCTAGCTCACAGCAACCTCAAACTCCTGGGCTCAAGCGATCCTTCTGTCTCAGCCTCCCAAGTAGCTGGGACTACAGGCATGAGCCATCACGCCCGGCTAATTTTTCTATATATATTAGTGGCCAATTAGTTTTTTCTATATTTATAGTAGAGACGGGGTCTTGCTCTTGCTCAGGCTGGTTTCGAACTCCCGACCTTGAGCAATCCGCCCGCCTCGGCCTCCCAGAGAGCTAGGATTACAGGCGGGAGCCACCGCGCCCGGCCTGTGACTCTATTTTCTTAGAACACTGTTGTCAGATCAGCCACAATGTTCACAAATTCCTGATCTCTATTATAAGGCTGTAATTTTCAAAAATAATGTAGAAAAAGGTAAAATGATAGTCAATTTCATAATTACAGAGATGAACCCTGTACTAGTGAGAAAATAAAAATGTCAAGAAACAATTTACTAAATTTTCATATTACCTGTAATTTTCCATTAGTATCCATTATACATTTCTCTGTACAGTCACACTAAAGATATGAATTCATCATATCCATTCAACAAATTTAAGAAACTCAAAACAGAATTATAGTCTTCAACTCTGTAGAATGAATGCTACCAAGAAGTTAAGTAAGATGAAGATAGAAAAATGTTCACAAAATGCTGCATGCACCCTACATAGCAGCACATTGGAAAATCTAGAGGGAATGGATA